CCCTCAGCCAAACGAAATTACGAATCTACCCCTACCTAGAGTACAGCCTCGTCAGAGTGAGGCTACAGGCAGCATGGAAACAGCAAGTCATTGCAATTGTCTGATACCCAGTCCCTTTTCTCTTCATTCCATAAATGTTTGATTTTCCAGACTCCGTGCTTTACCCAGGATAGCCAACATGTGCTTCTGGGCTTGAGGGAGAAAGGGTGATCACTTTCATCTCTCAACCAGGGGTTGCCGAAAAGAGGTTGCCTCAGTACCTCTTCTCTCGTCTTAGGCCTGCCGATTTTTTTCCGCATGATTCCCCTCCAGATCCTTAGCAGGGACGTCCAGTGGGGTGTAGGGGTTCTGTTCTCCGGGTGGTTATTTCTATGTCGGCGGTTTCTGGTCCTGTTGTGGTTGTCCATTCTTTGTTCATCACCCAGAAGAGACCTGGCATATTTGTTGGTGTAGGTACCGGCGCTAGTCCTCTATTGCTATCTAGCGCTAGTTTATTCCAAGTTGTGCCTTGTTTTGTAAGCAGTTTAATGATCCATTTGACCTGAAGGGCTTTGGTTTCTTGTTTGGGGTCGATGATCCCCAATCCTCCCTTACTCTGTTTCCTCGTGATGTAATGCCATGCTATCTCGGGGATGCAGTTAACTCTGTTGGGTTCACCCGACCATAGGTAGGGCCTTGCTACTCGATTGAGCTCCTTGATTGACTTGTCTGGTACAGTCCAGATTGAGGCTATATACCACATCATGGAAAAGATAGAGGTGTTGAGGGTTAAGGCGCGTCCCATTAGAGATGTGAAAGTGTTGCCCCACCTACCCATCTTGTTGATTTGTTTAGTGAGCACATTCTGGGCCATTTGGGGGGCAAAGCCTTCTTTCGTCATCAAGATCCCTAGGTAACGTGTGGGTGTCTCCGGTGTCTCCCAGGTCAACATTGCCTCTGTGCCTTGGAGCTGTGGGGGTTCTTCCTCTGACAACCACCACCCAATCGTTTTTTTCCAGTTAATCTTCATTTCCGAGACGAGTCTGAAGGCTTCCATAGCTCTTACTAAAGCACTGAAGGACGAGTCTGACGCTCGTATAAGAACCGTGAGGTCGTCTGCGAACATTATAACTTTTGGGAACTTTAGATGGTGGGCTGAACCTGCATTGATTTCTGGCAGACTGTGAACGGAGGGATCTTTTCGTAGAAAGGAGGCTATTGCTTCCATAACAAAGAGGAAGATAGGGGGGGCTAAAGGATCGCCCTGACGGACTGATCGTCACATTGGGTAGCATTCTGATAGGAGACCATTGACTTGTACACAACCAATAGCATCATTGTACAGTATACGTACCCATTTTCTGAAGATCGGACCTCCTCCCATCTTTTCCATACTTGTTGTATTAATTCTTTTTTCTCTCACTTTGTTGGCTGCTTCGTTTAGAGTGAGTACATTGTCAAGAATGTATCTTCCCGGTATGAAACCTGTCTGATCTATGTGGAAGCACTTGTCTATAAGATCCAGGATCCTGAGGGCAAGGGTTTTCGCCAAGATTTTGTATGGCAATGTGAGTAGAAAAATGGGCCTGTAGTTTCGTATGTCTTCTTGGTCCCCTTTTTTGTATAGAAGTGTGACTACACTGTTGCTTAACATGTTCCCAAGGCCCCCCCTTCAGCCAGCTGTCTTCAGTAGATCTCCCCCAAGAAGTGGCCAGAATTTCTCCCAAAATTCTTTTGTGAGTCCATCAATGTCTGGAGTTTTGTTGTTGTTCATACTCAGGACTGCCGCTTGCAGTTCGGCCAACGTGATGGGCTTATCTAGAGCATCTGCCTGTTCTTGTGAGATGGTTTTATCTAGGTATTGGAGCATTCTAGTCCACGCTTCTCTAGTGCTGGGGGGAGTGGGGGTGGGTGTCTTTGTTTGGTAGAGGTCTTCATAGAACTCCTTAGCTATGTTTAGCATTCCTTTGCTATCTGTTAGAGTCTCCGCTGTTTCAGAGAGGGTCTTGAGGCCCTCTATTGAGCTAGATCTTGTGTTCGCTTCAATCCTTGCAAAGAAGTGCTTTGACATTCACTCACTGAGTTCATACTCATTCATTCTCGATCTTATTTGCAATCCCTTTATAGCTCCCACCATCTCCATACAGCCAACTCCTCTCTTGCTTTGTGGAAAATGTTTGTATAGAAGGGCGAAGATGGATTATCAACTAGGTTGGACTCTGCGACCCTTAGAGCGGCTTCTAGCGCGATTTTTCACTGTTTCCTATCGTTTGACATTTTCCTTAATATGTTGGCTGCTGTCTGGGCCAGTGCGGAGTAGCTGTCTTGGAACCAGTCCCATCTGCCATGGATAGGGAGGAAGCTGCCTCTCCTATTCTGCCAGCAGTCTAGGATCCCTTTTTCGAAAGATTGGCTTAATAGAAGCGAGTTGTTCAGTTTGTGGAAGCTGGACCCTTTCTTCACAAACTATTCAAAACTGATGATAAGTTCAATTGGTTTGTGGTCCAGTCCTGTGTAAGGTTGTAGGGGGAGGATGTCTGCTAGTTTGGTTGTTCCCATTAGTGTTTCTGAAATCAAGAAATAGTCTATAAAGGAGAAG